GTTCTACACTGTAATTTCAGTCTCTTACGGCATGATGTACAAGACTTTGCATAATCAGATCCCTTTTTGCCTCTTTAGCTCCACTTTGTCTGCCTTCTTCAAAGTCTGCTCTAAAAATCTATTTCTTTTGCCTTAGCACATTTTCTTCATCAGCCTCTTGGATTCTGAAATGCTGGTTTTTCTCCCCTGTTAACCTTGTTAGGCATTAACTTCTCTCTTCCTGATGACCTCAGTAATTCCGTCACCAGCCATGGTGTCTAAGGCTGTCCTTGGCAAGCTCCTGTGTGGACTCCACCAATCTTGGACAATCCATCTTTTCATTACCTTCCTCTTCTTATCCTCCCAACAAATGAGTGAGTTTTCCCATAGTTCAGTAGAGTTCAATAAGCAGCATCCAAAGAATTTGTTGATTCAATAGCTGAAACAAAACAAAGACTTCATGTATATACTCAGAACTTTACTAATTTATCCTGTACTGCAAGTATAGTAAAGATCCTTTACTGCAGTAAAAGATTTTACTGCATTCAGGGAGAGCCAGGCTTGGAGCCTGACCAAGGACACAAAGTAGAACTGCATTGATTACACAACTTTTTTACATGGGGGAAGAATTTCTATTTGATAATATCACAAAAAGGCAATAGGTAAGGTCTCATCAATATGTAAAATGATTGAGCACCAATATAAATAATACAAATGATAGCATATGGACAGAAGTATACATTTTTTTCCTGGGAAGAAACTACTTCAGTCATTCAGTAATATTATTTAAATAGAAAAATACACCTCTGTACTGTTGTGTGTATTTTTGAAGAAGAAACAAAGTGAAATCTAGGAACTGACCAAATTAATAGTTAAAGACTGTGGCTAAAGACTCTGTGGTAGAAAAAATAAAAACATACAAATGTAAATATAGCTTCCAGATTTGCTAGCTATTTCTTCCAAATCTGCAACTGTTTTCTCTCTAAATCATGAATTCTCTGTGGGTTTTATTTTGAAATAGGTATTTCTACTATAAGTCTGATAAATGATATTTCAACTCTAAAGAGCAAGAAACTGAAATGCCACATTTTTGATGCATATTTTTGCAGCACAGAGGGGACTAAATTCTAAATGTCTCAGCTTTAAAAGCCCCTTCAGACTTACCCAAAATGAAGAACCAAGAATGAGAAAGCTTTCCCTAGAGCAATTCATCAGATCTGTTTTGGCACAGTGACATTCTTCCAGAGCTGTGTGGATAAGTTTCACTGAATAGTTCAAAGGTTTGCAGCTGCTTGGAATATTTGAGAAAAAGATGTCTCTAAGTTCTTTCATGCATTTACATGGGCTGGCCAGTCCTCACGAACTGGCTAATGTCCACTGGGGCACTGATAATTAGTAGTTACAGCATAATGATGACATCTGGTTTTTGTGTGCTCGCTGTGTGTCTGGAACTATGCTCCGCACGTCCTACGTATTGTGTCATTGCACGTTCATGCTTTTGATGTTAAGGGAATGACATACTAAGTCTATGTCAGTTTTTTTTTTTTTTTGCAGTATGCAAGTTTGTCAAGCTGGGTCTTCTATATTATAAATTTGACAAGTCCCTACTGCTATTTTCACTTACCTAATTTTTGGCTGTTGAATCTAGGAGATGCTCTGATTACTTCAGTAAAGGCATCAGCGATCACTTCCATAAACAAATTGTTAGATATCGGACACATGTATAAACAGGTAGAATCTTCTAATTTGCTTCTAATAGTCTGTCATGTTGGTTTTCTGTTTTTCTGCACCTCACCACATCTATACAGCGTACAAATTTAATGAGCATGTGTGACTGAATACATTCATGTAAATCATGCATATCAGTATTTCGTTACTTCCCTCCTGCCACGCACACACACATTCTTCCTGCATTCTGGTATGTGTAGACTTCAAAAAGCCTCATCTGTGGTTTCTGTTTTACTTGCTGAAGCTCAAGGTCACGATCTGGCAAAAGTGACTACCACAAAACGCATATTCATGTTATGTCCTGTTGTCCATGCCCCCTGGAGCACAGAGTGTGCTTGAAATTATACTGTTTCAAGTGAAGTTTCAGGGCGGTTTTAAAGCAGCACTATGAGGATGTTTTCATGTTAAATAAGAGTTTGGGAACGTGAAGAAAAGTAGAGTCAGGTCCAGACAGCACAGTAGGAACTGGACTGGAAGCCTGAGCTATGAAAGGGACACCTCTGCCCATTTCAGGTCAAGCACAGAGGAATCAGCGTCTGGCTTCCACTCTCCATTTGCTTGCCTCACCTTCTCTGTGCTTGTTACTTGATTTCCTTCCATAGAGCAGGAGAGGCAGACATGTGTTACTTGGAAGCAGGCTTTTACAACTATGATTTCACCCCATATTGAAGTTTCTCTCAAAATGGTTGATTTATTTTCTTTCATGTATGTGTTAGGTATGTGTTGCTAGGCACGATCAGATAACCCACAAAGGCTATCCACACCTTTGTCCCCAAACCCTCAGCCATGCAATGCAGTGTGACAGCCAAGAGAACCCGAGAGCCTCGCTGGGCTCTGGAGTAGATAAAGGCACAAATCCCATCTGGGTCTCCTTCAAAGCAGGCTGCTGTTTTGCAACAAGCTACCAGATGGTGATAAAAAACATTCTTACCTGTTTACTCAATGGGTGACTGGCCTCTTTGCTTTCATTTAGCCATCTGTTCTGGTTTGTGTCCCTTTAAACTTGTAAGATCCATCACCTCATTTAAACTGTTACCTTGACATATTGCAATGTTGTGGACAGAATGATTCCACAGAGGAGCAAATTAAAATGTTTTTTCATGATTAGAAGCTTCAGTGAGGTGAAGCTGTAGTAGTTAGTGGTAAGATGAGGGGTTTTGAGGAGGCAGAACTCAAGGGACTTTTAGGTGATTGAAAAATTAGGTGTTAGACAGTGAGCTGGGGACATTGCAAATCACTAGGGCTGAGCAAGAGCAAAGAATTCCTTTGGGTGTCTGGTTTCTTTGGGCTTATTCTTCTGCCCAGAGACACTGTGATCATGGGCCCAGGGAGGATATAGGGGCTAGCTTTGGGTTTCTTTTCTCCTTTTGGGACATTTTATGAAGAGAAAAAAAATCTGATTATACCAGGAAGTGGTGAGTTGAAAAATAGCAATTACCTCAAAAATGCTTAGTTATTCTCAGAAAGCTATTTGGCATCACTTAAGTTGGAAGAAGAATCAGAAGCCAAGCCCAACTTTTAGGGGAACATTTCCTTGCATCTCTACCCTGCACTTGAAGGCAGAGTTGTTCCTGATGTCTGCCATCAGCTCCAAACTTGACCTCCCACCCGACTCCTTGACAACTCCATCAGATGATGGACCAGTCCCTGAAAACTAAGACTTTGAAAGCCAAGGGCTTTATCTTCCTATTCTCTTACACCATTTCTTTCTCTGACCACCCTGGTTTTCCCTGATATGACCAGTATTGTTTCAGTTACCGAGGCTCAAAATATCAGTCATCTCTGAATTTTTTGTCTGCCAATTCTATCCAATCAGTAGCCGAGTTCTCTGCCTTTCACCTCAGTGGAGTTTCTCATGCTTTTTCCACCTTTTTATTTCCCCTGCCACTGCTCTAGTTTTCCATCCTTCATTACCTCTATCCTAGCTGGCTGGAATAACTTAAGTAGTTGCTGCCTACCTTTAGTTTCTCCCCGCTCAAAGCATCCTAAATGCCAGTGTTTGATTATAATTTATAACAGTCACCTTTGAAAAAGAAATCAAAAGCCTCCTTTAGTTTACCATCACCTAACAAACTCAATAGACTTCTCTCAGCTTGGTGTCTGAGGCAGTCCATCAAGTTATCATCAGTGTATCTAGCCTTTTCTTTTTCTCTGTGCACAGTAAGACTCACTGCTGTGTGGTTAGGAATAGCCCCATGTTTTCTTGCCTCTTTGCTCTGATTCTTCTAGCTAAAAGCTCCTCTCACACATCTTTACTGATTAAAATACATGCATTTTATCAAGCCCAGTCTCCACAACATCTCTGCTTTCTCCCACCCCAATCAGATACAGTTGCTCCTGCTCTTACTCCATAGCAACTCATTTAAGGGTTTGTTCTTATGCTGCTTGGCATGCATTTCTCCCCTACCCTTATTGTTAGCTTTTTTTTCAATCCTCACCCAAGGATATGTTCACTGATTCAGAGAAAGAGAGAGAGAGAGAAACATCAATGTGAGAAAGAAACATCGATTAGCTGCCTCTGGCATACAACCTGACCAAGGATTGAACCCACAGCCCAGCATGTACCCGAGTGGAGATCAAACACACCACATTTTGGTGTACAGGATGATGCTCCAACCAACTAAGCCACCCATCCAGGGCTGTTTGCTTTTAAAATCTTACTTGTACATATCCTATAGCACAGGTGAAAGTTTCCTGCATGTAGAAGGTGCTAGATAAACACATAGGGTAATGATTGATAATGAGACTGTCTATATGAATGCAAAAAATGTGTCAAGGACCTGGAACACAGAGATCAGTATGACATAGCATATCCCAGCTCTCCAGGAACTCACAACTACATGGAGGAAATGAGGCATAAATAATCATACAATGAAAAATATACAATAGAAGTGACTTCAAGGTATGGGAGTGGTGGGACTTCTCACCTCTAACAGGACAGATGTGTTGGGGGTGAAGAGATGGTGGCTGAGGGGGAACTGAGCAGTTAGCAAGGGCTTCCAATACTTGGGAATGTCAGTAAGTGTTGTCAAGGAAGATAGGTAAGAAAGGGTAGGGATGGAATGGAAAGATAATCTAAAAAAAGATGTTCTGCTTGCTCTCAGAGCCTCAGCACACTAACACAACCTAGTCACCAAATAATTATTTTCTGTTTCCAAATAAAAATATCCTACATCACAACATCCTTTGATACCTTTGAAATAGAAAGGGAGAGGAATAAAGGAACCTCTGCAACTGCTTTTGATTGAAAGTCACTCATTCATTCTTCTTCTCTTTTTTAAAATGTCTTACAGAGAAAGTCTGTGGTTGCAGTGAGCTTTGTAGCAGCGTTTCTCTTCCTGCTGATTGTGCGCCTTGTAAATGAACTGAATTTCCCATTGCTACTAAACTGCTTTGGACAACCTGGTACAAAATGGATACCTTTCTCCTACACCTTCAGGCGGCCCCTTCGAACTCACTATGGATACATAAATGTGAGGACGCAAGAGGTAAGACCTCAGAGGGTTACCTAGGATTCAAGAGTATCCATGGTAACTGCTTTTCTTCAGGAACAAGATGACCTTCAGTCACTGAAGTTACTCTCTCTGCCGCACCAAGCTTCTCTGGGTTCATGACATTTTCTGTCTTCTCATTCTTAGACATTTACTGACATGTGTTCAAGTCTGCTGCCCTTCCTACATCAAATATGATTCACTGGCTTCATGTGGAGTTGAGGAAGCAATTATCTGTTTTCCTAGTGCTTTGTTGCATAGCATACATAGCTTTCCATTTATTAACTCTGATCAGCAGTTACCAGCTAAGAGAACTGGCTGGTTTTATTTCCTGGAGGTCAGCTGGTTGGGGACAGCTCTTTGTAGAATTGCAGAAAATCATTTATACTTTTTTAAAACCCTATAATTCTTAGACCTGGAGCTAGAAAAGGCCAAGCTGATTTTAAAACTCTTAGTGGCTGCAGAGATAATGGTATTTAAAGAGTTTCCAAATTTAAAGGTGTTAAAATAATTTTAATCCTATAATCACAGAACCTCTAAATCTTCGTAGCCAGTTGATGGTACAGAAGACAGTGGAGGCAGATCGACAACTGGAAAGCGCACACTGTGCCAACACTTTTGCGAGCCAGGGTTTGTATCACAGAGAGAAGGAAAAAATAATGGACCTCACAAAAGGTGTAGAAGGTATAGAAGTGGTTAATAAAAGTGTTCACACTGTTCGTCATGCAGTGGGATGAATGTGAGGTTAATATTCATAGAGGCAAAGTCTGAGCCTGTTTGAAATTGTTGGTAACATGGGTACAAGTCCTTAGTGTGTCCACATCACTGAAAGGGTTTTGGATCCGATCCTGCTGAAGGGTAATTTTGTAAAGTACTAGAGAGGAGAGTTACACACAGAGTGCTACTCCTGTCCCGAAAGTTATGGTTAGCATCGGGATGGGTGTTAAAAGCTGGCTTGGGTCTTCCCCTTTTGCAGGCAACATTATACTCAAGTCTTTGCATCTGATTCATTTGATCCTTGGAAAATGATTTCTGTAACTGCAGGATTTACAGACTTTTTATTAGACCTTTATAGTTAAAAAGAAAAAGGCTCTATTAATAACACATAAATTCTTAGGAGCTTTACTTGATGTTTGTCCTTTAATTGGCTTTAAATTATTTTTTAAAGGGCCCATTACTTGAACTTGTTGCTTGTCCTAATAAATTGATTACTTGTATAAAAATTATCACAGAGGATAGTTTGTCTCACTCTCGTGTTTCGTTACTTTTATTTCTGGCTGCCATTTAATATTCTGTAACTCTTCTGGGTCCTGTTAATCACTTCACAAGTGCCTGTCACAGGCAGAAAATGAAACATCTGACTGAAGTGTTTCACAAATTACTCTCATGAGGCAAATCCCACCCAAAATCAAGGACCCCCTCATTTGTTTAAATATTAATGAGTTGGATTTTGGAGTGTTGATGGAAAAACTGACCTAGGGAACCTGTTATTAAAGAGTCATATTAACCAAGCCACCTTTCCTATTCTTTTGGTGTAGTTTTTAATACGATGACTTTACTACAGGATATCGATCATTATTTTGATCCTTTGCAGAGTCTCTTTCTCGAGAGGAAGCATGAGTACTGGAAGGAGTTTTTTTAGGGTTTAAAGGCACACAGGCAGGCATGGTTTGAATGAAAATAGGGATAATGGTCTCAAATAGCAAAGTTATCATGAGGATCAAACAGAACAAAGCACATGAGGTACCCAGTTTCAAACTGATGCTCAATGAATGTGTTTCTTTTACCTCTCCTACGCTGATCAGTTATGACTTGAAGTGCTCAGTATGAATTACACCAAAATACCAAAGCCCAGAATAACAGACTTTGTGTTTAAATTTTAAAGGCCCTGGGTTCAGGGCCTTTGAACTTACAAAGGAGCTCACAATCTCATACAAAATCAAGGTTTTGCAACTTAAAAACACAATGAGAAGAGGGAAGAAAGCACAAGGAAGTGTCACTGCACACCAAATACCAGATGGGCAAAAAATTAAGAATCTGATGATAGCAAGTGTTGGTGAGAATGTGAAACAACAGGAACTCTTAAATACTGGTAGGTGGAATATAATAAACTGGAACAAGTGTTTTGGGAAAACAGCTTCCCATTGTTGTATAACTTTGAAGACCTGTATCCCGTGCCCAGCATTTGCAGTCACTGACACATTCACTCAGACAAACTCAGCAGCACAGGCATTGACAGGCTCGGACAACAGGTATGGCAGCATGGTTCATGGTCACTGGGACCTAGAGGCAACCCACATGTCCATCAGTAGGAGAGTGGGTTAAAGTCGTGCTACATGTCCTGGAATACCATACAGTGGTGGAAATGAAGAAGCTGTCACCAGATGTGACAACATATGTAAATTGTGCATGACCATTATTTTGAGGGAAAGATGCAAAAATAAAAGAATACACACAGTGTGATTCCATTTATAGATCATAGGAAGAGGCAAAACTAAATAATGTTGCTTAGGGTCATATATAGGAAGGAGTAAAACTAAAAAGAAATAAAAAAGTAAGGAAACTATTATCATATAAGTAACAAGAGAGGTTACTCTGAGAAATTACTCTGAGAAAATATTTGGTTTGTGAGCAGTGTGGGTTCCTGGGATATCAGCAAATAGCCTATGTCTCCATCCAGTTGGAAGTTACATGGGTGTTCACATTCTAAATATTTTTAAGTATACATTTGTGTCATTTTCATTTTTCTGCATGTCTATTTTATAATAAAAATTTTAAAATATATTCTGAGCCCAGTAGGATATTTATTGACCAGGAATCACCCAAAGCATTTCATCTGATTTAATACAAGAAATAACTAAAAAGAAGCAGTGAGGCATTAAGCTCGTGAAAACAAACTAGCAATATTTGAAATATGCAATTTCATTTTATGCGATGACTAGCAGATATACAGGCACCTTATTCTAGTGTATGCATGATAGCGAGACCCCATATTGTAACATGAGTGAAGGTGATGAGCAGAAAATTTTGCATGGGCATTGACAAACAACACCTAAATAAACTGGCTTTCCCTCCAGTTCTCAGCTAAATTGACAGGATAGTAGAATTTGCAGGGTGGCTCTCTACATCTCTCCTCATTGATTTTATTTTTCCTTCTCACAATCTCAACCTCTGCCATTGGTGTTCACCAAATAATAGCTTCAGGTGCCATCCTTCCCAGAGATAGCTGCATTAAATAAGATTTAGGAGGAAAATGTTTTCATAGAGCCAAAGTAATACAGCTAATATGATAGGTGGTAGATTTTATATTCTGGGGCAAATAGCTTCAATAGTGACCTTCAAACCTTGCTCCAAAAGTGGCCATAGACTCCGATGTCCCCGTTCACCCTATTCGTGTCTGGAGAAGGGTCAATCGCCTTATCTGAGCTGAGGCAAGTGAACATCAAGCTGACCCATTTATTTTAAGGTCTTGGTTTTTGAGGTTTTCTCAGAAGGTTTTCAGAAGAAAACACAGGCTTGCTAGACATGGGCAGACTTGCAAGAAATTCCTTAAACATGTAGACAAGCCTGCAATGATTTCCAGATCTAGAGTATCTGCAAACACAATTGTTGATGATAGTTTTACCGGCTGATGCTTCATCTGGACCAGACATTGCTGTCACTAGACAAAGACTTTATGAGTGGAAACGCTTATAAGAAAAAAATGTCTTTCCACTACTGTCAATGACAAGATGGGGGTGGCTGAATTAGGTTGAAGATTTAGTAGATGCAGTAGAGAGCTGGGTTGCTTGGGAGCAGAATCTGATTCTCTGATTATCTTTACAAAAAAATATGAGATGAGCTCTGGCCCTTTGGCATGGCCCAAGGGGAAGCACAGGTGACCTGTGGATCTGTGACAGCCTGCCCTGAAGGCCTCACCTAGAGGAAGTTACACCCAGTTCAGGCTCAGCTGCATTTGATCAACTCACCCAGTTTCTGAATGACCTGTTCCCAAGGGAAATAAAAGAAGTAAAAATATAGGGAGCACAGAAAAGATAAACACGTGAACTTGTTTGCATTTCACATTCCTCCTGATCCACAGCCATGAAAAGGAATATGTTGTGAAAACTATGAGGACTGTTCTAGAAGAATTGGAATGAAAAAATAAAAAAACTGCTCCCTCTCTACAACGACAACTTAAATACAACGCAGTTGGTGATTGGCTCCCAGGCCTTGGCCTGTCTCTTCCCCTGTAACCAGTGCGAGTGAAGGTTCTTATGTTTAGGGGAGGGGAAGTCTTGAGAATCAGGGAAGCTAAATGAGTGCCAGCTAACTGGGTGATTGCTGAAATCCTGAATTTTCCTGGCCACAGAACCCAGAATTCTTCATTCCATACTTTGTTTGAGCTGACAACAACCATGAGGTAGTGTCAATACAAAGTTTGGACCAGGAGTGATTTTGATTTTGTGACAAGGTTTATACTTTCCTTTGCTCCCTACCTCTGTTAACTGACTGAACCCCAAGCTGCCCAGACTTGCCCTGCCAAGTCATCACTGTATTAACAATGCAACCTTCCATTGAAACAGGACTAAACTGGGGGGACCCCACCTATAACATTAAGGCAGAGTTACTGCATTATTGACTGATCTTAGACATAGTAAAAAGCATGACCCATATGTGGCTGGGAAAAAAAAGCCTATGCTTAACAATATCCTGTGAACTCTACTTTTTCCTTAACATGATTTTTAATGGTTCATTTAAAAATAATTAATTGTAGTGGAAAGGGGAAGTGTAAACTACTAAAGTATGGCAGGACTTCGTTCAAGGCAGCTATTGTTTCTCCCCGCTGTGACTGTGGCAGCTTTTGAGGGAAAAGGAAGAAATTAACTTCAAGTAGATTTTGTGTGCAGTTTCCACATCATGGAATCGGTCACGCTGCTGTCTCTGTTGTTGGGTGACCTGCTGTGAAGACATTGCTCAGAAAAAGTGACCCGCAACCTATTTGCATTAACCACCAG